AACTCCACTAGAAACAGATGCATTGAGTCAAATGCTACAGTTTAGTTTTCTCTAAAAAATTTGAAAAAAAAATGCTACAGTTCCGGAGAACCTAGGGCCGATTAGTTCGATTATGAATTTACGATCGTATCTCAAGGCCGTCACCCTTTAAGAAACGAAAAAAGAAAGTAGGGATGGAATGGAAACACACACATTGTCAACACTCAAAACTCAAGAGGAAAAACAACCGCACGCAGTCCGCATGAGCTCCGGAGTCCGGATATTCTCTTGAAGTTTTTTTTTTTTTTTTGCGTGAGAGATTCGAACTCTCGCGGGTTACACCCATAACCGTTCGAGAACAAGGAGAAAAGACCTTATAGGTCAAATTATGTGGCTTGGAGAATCCATGTGAGCTAAAAGCTAGCACGGAAATTGCGGACGTGCCCTACCCAGTGGCAAACTTTCGCAGTCGTGACACCCTCGCACGTAGCAAATATTGCTTCACTCCAAGGATCCCTGCGGCCATCGAAGCTTGCGAAGCTTGTTTATCAAATGAAGTTTGGATTTTGGATTTTGGGCTAAGAAACCAAATTCCTAATCTTGTGGCGAGCCTGACGTGGCGTTTTTCCCATCTTCCGCTTTCTTTGTCCGGACTCTGTTGTAGAAGGCCACCAAACACTCTTTTTTTTTTTTCCCATTTGCCCTCAAATTTCATTGCCATATTCGAAACAAGCCTTCTTTTTTTTTCTTTTCATTTGCCCTCAAATTTCATTGCCACATTGGAAACAAGCTCGGGGGCGCTGATGCTTCATTTCTGACCGTAGATCTTCACAATCTACCGTCAGAAATCAATCTACCGTCAGAAATTGACAATTTGGCCCCAGGGAACCTCACAAACAACCCTGAAAGCATCATCCGGCTTTGTTCTTTGTTTTTTTTGTTTTTTTTTTACAAATGAACTTCGAGGCCGCGGTCCTCACAGCCAACCCCGGGCAAACCTCTAGGAACATTACCCAGTTTATGGGAATATCCTGCAGGAACCGAGCCCCAGGTGGACAGCAAAAGTTTAAAGTTTGCGGCAAAACATACCCAGACCTAACCCATTGTCTGGGAGGACATGAGCCATCCCTAACCCGGGCTGGTGGATCTATTGCTCCTCAAACATAAAACTTGGCACTTTGTACTCCCTCCTGACCCACATCCCCCTCTTCTGCTGCCCTCCTACAGAGGAGGCGACCCGAGTACCCAATTTTTTTTGTTTTTTGTTTTTCCTTTTCAGCTTCGCTTACAGGGAGAAGCCCTGCATGGCATAGCATAGCATGCCTGTTACGGAAACCCCTTGACGTGTTACCCAAAAACCGCTTCCCCCCCCTCCCCCCCTTCTCCTTCGAAAGGTGGCATAGCCACCTATTCCAGCATGCGAGTACAATCATGGAACATAAATTTACAAGGACTTCAACACAAACTCTACGCAATAGAAACTTGGCAGGATTTTTGAGCCGCCGATCTTGGGATCAACGGCGATCAACCGCCGTTGGTCCGTGCCATTCAAATCCCGTGCATGTCCTTCGGGACATGCGTTAAAGTTGGAGTCTGGAACGATAGAGAGAAAGAGATGCCCATAAATCGAGAAATGGTCCGAATAAAGAAAAAAAAGAACAAAACAAAACACCGTGCATCCCGTTTTCAGTGACTCGACCCTCTAGGCCACTTGCCGGGAGGGAAGCAGCTTTCTCCCGACGCCATAAAGCTTGAGATTCAGGGTGTCACTGCACCACTCAAAAATGCGAAAAAGACAAGGATACGGTGGATGGATGCATCTTCTTTTTTGTTTTTCTTGGACCATTCGGTCCATTTCTCAATTTTTATTCGCATCATCCTAAGGCTTGCGCCGCAGGGGCCATCCTCTAATCTTGTCCTTCCATGTATTGTTCGCATTTCAACGGATGTATATTTCCAGGTTCCAGAGGGAGAAATCCCCCTCCGTTTCGCACCATCTGCACGATTCTGCAGTGGCGAGCGGTGTCCCGAGGCCCTCCGCTTCTCCGCCTTATCCTTCCGTTTCAACAAAGTCCCCAGTTCCATCTCCACCGTACAAAGCAGAACAGAGGCGACCGGAACTATCTGCTCGCAGGCAGCCACGTCGGTGTTTCAAAAAGATATTTTGCAACCAACGAAATCTCCCTCCAAAAAAAAAAAAAAATAATAAAAAAAAATCTCCAGTACGCACTTGGACATGTCGGCAGACAGGGGGGATGGTCGTCGGAGTGGTTTCCAAGGGGCATGCCACTCAACTCCCCAAACACCAATATTTTAAATGCATTGGATGTATCTAGTCCCCTCCATTGTCCTTTTGCTTTTTCCTCGCATGTGGTTGTACCGAACCCCTAACACATGCATGTGGACTCCAAGCTGACCAAATACACAATCTCAAATGCCAGGATCGCCATTGGATATATTTTTGGAAAGCCATTCATTGGGCATCGCTTCACTGCAGAACATTCTACATCCATGGGCTCGAACTTTTAACAAATCTTTTGAGATCCGCTATTGTATTTTGATCATTTGTATTTATTTTTTATTATTCATTTAATATTAACAAGTATCGATAAGAATTATGTCTCGTAGAAAAATTCCCATAAAACGTTCTCCTAAGCCTGATTCCATTTACAGAAGTCGTTAGTCAACATCATGGTTAACCCAATCTTAACAAATGGTTGAAGCTGACCACAAAATAATCCAACTGCGCAGTGCGCACACATTTCGACTGCATTGTGACCACTTCCAGCAGTGGGACGACGAGGGCTGGGGCCAGCCAAGTCCCACTTCTCCCAATTCTCAAAACTACCTGAATGCTAGTGGTGTCTGCTATTACCAGCACCCCTAGCATTTCTGAGGGAGTTTGTACAAGGGAAAAAAAAAAAAAAAAAAAAAAACCTACCTGAATGCTACAGATGTGGGGACAAAAAATTGAGGACATAGTCTGACCAAATTCTGGACCTCATTGCGGTCACATACATGATACATCCACTTCTGCTGTAGTTGCTATATCAGATGCTCTCAGGAAAGTACTACCATCTGCACCAGAAAAGAAGGGGGGCAACTCTTCATGTCCAAATGGCCTTTAGCTCAGTTGGTACACGGTACACCCACGAACTGTTCAAATGCAAACCGGATTTCGAATTGCAGTGGAATCTGATGAACAGAATGGATGAATTACGTAGGGCCGGTCAGTTTCACGATGATATCTCAAGGCTTTCCCCCTTTCAAAAACAAAAAAAGGGTCGCCCTTCCATTAAAAAAAAAAAAAAAAAAAAGGGGGACTCTTCAGTCCAATTGCAGCAATAGTGGGCGGGGGCCAGTTCCCACTAGCAGCGTTGAGCTACCTCAGCGCCCGAATCGGGACGTGTTTGTGGAGACGTGCAGTTCAGGAAACTCAACACCATTTCTGCACATCTCCTCAAAAGCGTCCAGATTCAGGCGTTGAGGTAGCTCAACGCTGATAGTGGGACTTGGCCCCGGGGCCGGGAATACGCCGTCAGTCAGTCCTGTTAAATGCGTAACTAAACAGAATTCCACCTCCTACCGAAATGATATCGTAGTTGCCCAACGTTGTGCCCAAACTTGGGATCCTTAAGTAGTCCCCATATGTTGGATCTGCTGCCTGCACGTTGCGCGTTTGCATAGAGCAATTAACACACACTACTCCTTCCTGAAGTCGTGCCCGTTAACAAGCCACGATTTTAGGAGATGTACGGGCCAGTACAGGAGCGCCCAAATGCATCCAACTAGAAACGTTTCTGCTCTATTTTTTTTTTCCCCAGGGCCGATAGCAGCGCCAGGTTCTCGTGCAGCGGGTGGTAAATGTTCCTGATGCATTGAATGGGGAAAGTGAGCATGGCTACGTGTAGCATTGCTCTTTTGTTGGCGTTCTTCCCTTGTTCCGTTGGTCGCTTCGACTCCGCTTGGCCAGAGGCTGGACTTGACCAGTGTCCCTCGACCATGCCTCTCACGGCCGCCCAACCAAATAGATGCGCGGGGACGCCCGGGTCGTTTTCCGGCTTGTGAAAAAGCCAAAAAAGAAGGAAAAAAGAAATTCAAAAAAGTGCTCGCCCTGTGCCACACACATTATGGCTGCAGTGACAAGAGCCACATAACGCCCACGAAGGCGTTAAAATTTCTCGAAATGACGACAAACAACTCGACGCAATGTACGTACAAAAGCCAGCACCAACTTTTATTTTTCCCTTCCTTCTTGTGGTTTCGCACACGACAATTGCCTTGCAAGTTTCAATCCATAATCCTGACGGACTTCGAATCTCAGTGTCGTACGTGCGTTACGTACGTACACTCGTACACCTCGACGTAACGTACGTACACCTACACCTTGACATGTACGTCATGCCCCGTGCTTTCCTTTTTTTTTTTTTTTTTTTTTAGCCCGTGCTTTCCTATGACACATGTCTCTGCCGAAAAAAGACCAGAAATATAAACAAAACGCCTGAACGACATCAGATGCATCTAGGAGTGGCTGAACTCGGACACATTCACGAAAGTGCTAGTCAAAACACATTCACGAAAGTGCTATAGTCAAAACGCCCAGAGCAATGGTTTATCACAATCAGCAACATCCATCGCAATCACGCGTCATCACATTTCACACCGTTTTTTTTTTATAATCTTTTTTTAATTTTTTTTTTTTTTTGCTGAAGCAGACTTTTATCCACACACGAGGGGAATGGGGCGGGCGAACCAACGAAAGAAAAAAACCCACGAAAAAGCCCGTGATCAAATTCGAGCCATCTCCCCAACCGATTTCCATCCAGTCCCCAGTGGTCCCCACCATAAACCAACTTCACAACCACCCCCCATCGCCCCACTGCGCTGAACACCATTCTCATTAAGATGCGACTTGGGAAGTTTCGCACGACAAACGAAAAACAACAATTTCGCCCAACTTCACAATTTTACCAGAAGGCAATTTTCAAAAAAAAAACAAAAAAAAAAAAAAACGCGATTTTCGAAGATCAAACACAATTCCGTCCAATTCGTAAATTGACCTCCTCTCCAAAGCTCAAACACAATTATCCCGTCCAATTCAAAAAAATGGAATTCTTTCAGTCCAAACACACAACCTCACGTTCCAAACCCTCTCTCTCTCTCTCTCTCTCTCTCGCTGCCACCAACAACGGCCCCGGCGGTGCATTCAGCAAGACGTTACGTCGGACGATTCCTGATGAAAAAAGAACAGACGCCCAGGCGGATCCACATGCCGTCCGATTAGAAAATGGACATTGAAGAGTCACAAGACAATCTCGCTCTCCAAATCAAACACCGAAGCGACAGCCCTGATTCACAGTCTTCGCGATCTCTCAATACTCTCTCAATACTCTCTCAATACGCTCGAATGGAGACTCGATGAAAGCCATTGTGCAGTCCGTCCGTTCGGAGCATATCCACTGCATATCCACTATGCATAAACGCCTCGTCTCTCTTCCACCACTCTCGCTAACATCATCAAATGAGTTAGGTCGTTTCCCGTTCCTTCATGGAGAGTACAAGCGACGGGGTACCAGGTACCATTAAAGGAGTACCAGGTACCATCAAAAGAGTACCAGGTACCATCAAAGGAGTACCAGGTACCAGCAAAGGAGTACCACGGACAAGAGTTTCAAACGCACCAAATATATCCGTTGCACTCGCCCCATCAAGTATGATTCACCAACACATCTTCTTCCTAGCACCCGTTCGATGCAAGTAGACCATGAATTATATATCTATATATATATATATATATCGTCACAAGCAGAACTGCCCGGTAAGACCGTAGGCAGAGAGAGAGAAGAGGACAACAAACGAGGGGCTGTGACAAACTGTTTCGTCGGAGTTTCACCGACTCATCAGGAGGCTGAACCCTCAGTCTGCAGAATCCCCTCACTGATTGCACTGTAAATGATAATCTACCTTAACCAAAATCAAAGTAGACTATCACTCACCCACACCAGATGGAAAACTCTACAGACTGTCGGTTCACACCCCATCACAAGCCAGCAAAACATCCACGAAACAAAGAAAGGTCTGTCACAGCCAAAAACTATATATATAGCAGTTGTCGCACGCTGTGCTCTCTTACGGTACCTATCAAGTGGTTCACACCAAATCCTCATTCATTGCAAAATCAAGTGCAATCGAACATTGCATGCCCAACTAACTACCGTCAAATATTTTCCACGTCGCTCATCCTGGACATGCACTACGACTCCTTTTTTCAGTATGCTTCGAAGAAGCATGCACGAATATAAGAGTGTCTCGAGTTCCATAACCCCCCGCTGCCTAGCTCTCTGCGAATGAATGACAAGACTTAAATCGATAGAAACATAAAAACGATAGGGTAATCCAGAAAGAGATCGAACGGTACGAAAAGTCGCAACAGAGAGTATAGGCTATTCAAAAACCTACTGCCAACCGACCAAAAAAAAAAAAAAAAAAAAAAAAAAAAAAAGACGCACTGGTCGTTGCAAGACGTCGACTGCCGTGAGTGAGCGCACCATTCGTGGAGCGATTAAGACCACAGAGTCAAATAGCCGACGGGCAGACGCACCACCTCTTGCCCCATATCCCGCTTCTTCCGAGGGCCAACCAGAAGAAAGCGAAATTCAGCTATCTCCTCTTCTTGAATACACTAGTCGATAGCCTCGTCATCATGGACAGCTCTCTGTTTTTTCGGCGAATTGTCGTTCAGCACTTTGCCACTTACCTACGCCCAAGTACCAACTCCAACCTACCACACAGCTCGCTCTCGATATGGATGGAAGCATTGGAAGGGGGGGCCCTCAGTTCGGTGCGAAAGTTTTATCACACAAGCAAGCGTCTCCCTCCGTGAGGCGGAAATAAGGAGGCGGCGGTCTTCTCTTCTACACACAAAAACAACCACGTCGCGAGTCTCCTTCTCCCCCCCCCCCAAGCACTGACCCCCGGGCGACAACTACAAGAGCCTGCACATTCATCGAAGCTATCGGCACAACATAGACAACACCCACGTCTTGCACGCGGAACACGGCACCCTCATCTTCCCCACTGCACCCATTTAAAGGTCGGTATTGCGGAATCAGACTGCCATCAATGGCATTTCTATGCACGCATGTACATATATATCGTGCAAACATATACGTAGTTATATATATTGCGACTCAGCGTGCAAATACATCCCGACTAAGACCGACAGAAGCGCGTGCACGCAGACGAGACAAAAACTCACATCTACGTGACCAAATACAGACCTACCTCAAAGGCATCAGTCATCTACGTTCACTGTCTACTTCAAAAATACTTGGGCATGTCCAGTGTCTACCGCGTTCCTGAAAAAATACCCAGTTGAGCGTCTTTAACCACCATCATGTCATACGAAGTCCCAAGTGTTTCAACACTATCTCTACACCTACCAAGACAGACAACCACATATCGTACACTGTCAAATACCCTGTGAGACCGGCGGTTTCATCAACCCTCTCCAAATCAAGTCCCGTAGAGTGAGACATGCCAGACATTGCCAGTCAGCCAGATTCCAGATGTGAAACAAGCAACAGAACCGTTCGATCAGTTCCCCACAACGCAGCGATGCAGCGCAATGATATGTATGCGGTGCCCACGTAACATGACAGACACACACTCGCTCTTCCACATCTCCTTAACTCCGCTGAGTCCGCCCCTACCAGAGAATCGTACAGAGAAGAGAGCGAACGGACTTCTTCGAAATTATGAGCAAGTAGTCTTCATTGAAGGAACCGATCGAATTCTGTCCATCTTCATTGAAGGAACCGATCGAACTCCGTCCACGAATGGTGCTCGTCCACATGCCACCAAAAGCCACCCGTTGCAATTCACGTCCAAATCGACTAATATAGCCCTTCCCCCGGTCGCCGGTCGGTTGCTTAACAAAAACACAATCGCTCGTGGATGACCAGCCAGCCAGCCAACCATCAAGAGTCAAGTCTCCACTGAAGGAAAGACCAACCATCGATCATCACACAGCTATAATCAAATCTCCGCAAACGAACCGCAGAAAATCGAATCGACCACCAAACTACAGGCTACGATCAATCGGAAAATGAACCGAAAACAAACAAACAAACAAACAAACAAACAAAAACATTCGAGTTCGAATTCGTGAACGACGATCAACACAAAGCAGAATTTTCAATATAGTACAAAACCCAGTCCTCCTTCAATTCAAGGAGACAGATTAACAGGCTCGAGATCTCGCAAATGCGGTCATCAACACCAGCAATCATATCACATTCCGCTCCTACACCTAAACCACCAGAACCAACCACCATATCCACCGTTCCTCCCCCCGCCCTTTCAGAATTTCTTCACACCCCTCCACAAAGGAAGGGCCCAACCATGCAAACACTGAAAAAATTGCAGTCCTAGCACGTACGTATCATATCAACAGGCCACCCAGAGATAGCAGGATTGAGACGTGATCAGATCCGCAACAACAAATGCGAAAACTACCAACGAAGGGGAAACAGGATGGCCACAATTGCCGACAAACATCCATTGTACAAATCCCATTGACCCATGGCTCTTAAAATGAAAACAGGGAACCAATAAAAAAAAACAAAAAAACACGTAAAACAGCAAAAAAAAAAAAAGCTGAGAGGAAGCCTACTACCTACCTATCCCTTAGGATCAATCATATCATATATGTATATATATAGATAGATAGATAGATAGAAGGCAACGACGACTGCAAAGTACGCCGAATAGCACTACGTAAGAGCAATCCATGCTGCATACAGGGGCGGCGCCCAAAGATCGAGTAGACTTCGTGGCGATCCATGTCTCATGCCGCTCGAGATAACGCTGACCACGCAAAATAACAGCACCAGCATAGTGACATCAACCATAAACCTCCCGCGCCTTCCAGTATCAACGCAGACCAGTGCTGTGACGTCCCACCTTCCGATGACATTCGCATTCTAGTCCGTTTCCACCCGTCGATTTCAAGAGGTCTTTCTAGCACACGTTGCAATTCACACCCACTTGAAGGAACCCGACTTCGGCAGCCTCGTCGCTTAGCCATGGATGTGACATATACTCCGGGATTCCAGCAACGATAAGCCATGGATGGGACATAACCACACATATACTCTGAGACTCGGTAGTCTACAGTGAATACCAACTTCCCAACAGATCATGTGACAATCATCACGCTTAAACCATCAAACAAAGCTCCTCCTTTCCCCCTCAGACAAACCCTTACATAGAAAATCTTCCCGCCATCAGGAAAAAATAAAAAAATAAGGACGAGACGAACCACAAACACAAACACAAATCGGACAAGTAAAATCAGATAGAAAACATAAAAAAAAAGAACGGACTTTGCTATTTCCTTTCCTCCGCCAAAGCAAGGCGGCTCTACTCAGCTCGGTGCCCCATCACGCTGAGAAACTGTAATCGAAAAACAATCTTCCCTGGGAAACGTGTGAACCGCAGAGATCTCCCGTTATCATTCCTGATGCTCAAATAAGATTCCCTCCCTCGTACAATAGCGAAGCGACCAGGAACGACAGAGGAGAAAAGAGAAAAGAAAAGAGCATGCCTTCACCATCTAGCTCTCTCTCTCTCTCTCCCTCCATTATTGTTCTCTCCTCTCTTCGAGATAGTGAACGCCAGCGCCCTTCTCCGCAAGACAGGTCGTCATGAAGCCACTGAAAACTCTCCTCCCCTTTCCGTATTCCGGAGAAAGGATCAGTTGCCGTGCCGCTCAGGGAGGAGAAATACCTCGACACCACTCTGGAAGAAGAATTACCTCCAGCGCATAACAGCCAACTCTGAGGGCATACTTGCAATTAACACTCTCCCGACTGACCTCCGGACGCAATTTTCGTGAGATGAAACCACGGCCAGCCGCAATCCCAGTTAGATGCAATGCATGANACACTCTCCCGACTGACCTCCGGACGCAATTTTCGTGAGATGAAACCACGGCCAGCCGCAATCCCAGTTAGATGCAATGCATGAATCCCTCCCTCGTCAGACTATGCCCCTCATTGCCCTGACAGTGCGAGGTTCGCGACTTCACTCTCCCATCTTCATTCATGCTCACTGGCTGGCAATTCGAAGACGACAGGAAAAATTATCTAAGGCACAAAGCTGATGATTCATATATACAGTGGCGATAAATCCTGCAGAGAGCAAGTGAATGCAGGACGGGTGAGGACGGGCGACTCCCTTCCCTCCTCACACCCCAACCCCTCCCTTTTGTGCACCCTCCTCCTTGTTCGAAGTCTCATCCAGGAGCATACGTGCCAGCTCCGGCAAAGGTTCCGCATCCAAACCTGCGGCGAACGTAGGCAGAGGCGCCGGGATCGGTACGGGGATCTTCTCCCAGACCGAGTAGTTCCTCCCCGATGCGGCCTTTCTCCAATCTCCCTTCGACGGCGTCAATTTTCCCATGTCGTACCTGCACAAAGACAGATCAGGACGAAGGAGCCACGCGATCAGTCCGAGGGGAAAACTCGTTGCGGGCAATATCACCCACCTCGCTAGCCCACCACACCAAGTGTCCTACCGTCTTCGCCCGAACATAACGCACCCTGATTCTGAATGTATACAACAATCTTTCCGGTTGGATGCAGTCATAATGAGGGTGCGTAATGTCGCTGTGGAGGTTCGAAACCCGACACTCAGAATATCGCAAACACTTCCGCACTCTCTGTTATGCGAGGCTGCGAGCCACATGTCCCTTACACAACAACTCAAAGCCGAGAACGTGTCAATCGTACGCAGCGCCGTGCTCAGTTATTAACCCCCTACACATAAAGGCACTCCTGAAACATGCAGTGCAGAGACGATTCAATCAATACGCAAAGAGCGGACAACAGCTCGATCGTGCCGAGTTGACATATGTGTACAGTAGTAGTAGTATACTCACCGAGGTCCAAGTTTCAGAATAACGCTCCCTGAAGTTCCAATGACCTCGGCAACATACATGTCCGACTCCGCAGCAAGTATCTTGACGGGACTCTTCGCATGAACGCCATTCCGCTGACGCAGCTTCACCAGATTCTTGATCTCCTCCTTCAGTCCCCAGTCGAAATAGTGATCATAGAACTGCAATGGCCATTCATTTCGGAAATAAGGGAATAAGAACGACAACGACAAAAGGCAAGCACGCTAACACCACAAGGACCCAGAGAAAACTTCAGACCCACAGAAATCTTCGGTGGTACAAGGACCCAGAGAAATACGTCGCACGCTGACCGAAAGACAAGTCTCGTTCACAGAAATTTAAACAATATACACTCTCAGAATAAACAATATACACTTCCGACATGAATAAACAATATATACACTTTCAGACTCAGAAATCACATTACGGACGTGCCGCGAGGAATTCATTGGGCCTCGCTCCACCACTCAACAAATCTTCAAAATGAGCAAGAATACTCCACTAGAACCTATATACACCGCCATGATCTCCGAACCTTGTGCATGCCGTGAGTTGGAGCCAGGCCCGTAATCGTAGCACCGCAATCCGCAAATAATAGAGCAATCCGATTAAATGGGACAGGGAGACCACACCAGACAGAGCCAGCAGATACACACCCAGTCCATGAACAGGAGAGAATCATATCATTGTAGCACTGCAGCTTAGCGGCAGAAGAGTGATCCGCACGATAGAGCAGGAATGGGACATGACGACCACAACCGACAGATCCCGTACGCAAGACCCAGTCCAGCAAGTTCAACAGGAAGAGACTCATCATTGTAGCACTACAGCTTGGCAAGCAGAAAAAGCGATCCAAGCGATGAAGCAGGGAGAGAGCACACGCCGTGGAGCACGTAAGAAGATCTCTTATTCAAGCGGACAGAGAGCACACGCCGTGGAGAACTGTAAATGAACGTACTTTCCCAAAAACAAACAGAACACTCACCAGACAAGGATTCCCTGGATGTGTGAGGATGTACGCATATCCTTGCATGACTTGATCACTTGGGAACGGCCAGAAATTCTGCGAGGATCCTGTGTCGTGGTTATCAATGAACGTAACAGACTTCCTCGGATACCAACCTGCATAGGAAAAGCAGTCCATAGGACGGTCACCGAAACACCGTCAACAAATAGATCCGAATTGAGATCGAGTTGCGCTCCTTACGCGGTGGCCATCATCATACTTTTCACTTCACTCAGTTTTCACTATCATTTTTCAACGTCTCACTTCATTATTATTTTTCAATCCAATCTCTTCTGTTGGATGTCGTGGAGAACCAGAAGGTACATTAATGAAAAGCAGTCCATAGGACGGTCATCAAAACACCGTCAACAACTAGATCGAGCTGCGCTCCTTACGCGGTGCCCATCATCATACGTTTCACTTCATTATTACTTTTCAATTCAATCTCCTCTATTGGATGTCGTGGAGAACAAGAAGGTATACTAAAATGAAAAGCTTAAAATATGCATGAACTGGCAAGGCCAAGTCAGTCGATCGAAGTGAACTCACCGATCAGACCGGGAGGCTTGCCATCCCTGTCACGAAGTCGCCAGTACTCGTTGTTCTTCACAGCCTCCTGCAGGATACCCTTAGTGGTAAAATCGAAGCATCCACAACGTCCCTTCGTCTTATCAATCCACGAACACATCACTTGCCGATGCGCGTCTGCGAAATAGCCACAAAAGAAAAACAAAAAAACATTAGAGAGACAGACCAGTACCGGTTCCCGAAATACAAAAAGATCGACACAGGCGAGCTCCAAAAAACTGATCGCCTTCCTCGCGGGACGGACCCTTCTCCTGCACATCGCATCTTCCCTAAAACTTAGATGATTCGGGGAAAGAATTCAACCCTGCACACACATTGAAAATTAACTGATATACATGTTCAGAGTTCTGTACACGTAGCCTCCTTCAGCAATCCCCATTCATCGCGATCAAATGCGCATCATCACTCTGACGCCTCGTTGTCGAGGCAATCATGCCCCCTCGCTTTCTTCGGGCGTACTCACACTCGGAGCTCATAGAATTTGGTGGTAAATCGAATTATACATCCCGGAAAATCGCTATATGAGTATATGCCCTCCGGCAGTCCCGAAAACGCTACCTTTCCTTACCACACTCGAATAACTTTTCCTCTTCTTTCACTTCTCGTTACCCGCGTCCAGCTGCTTTTCCCACCACGTGTGACCACGTTCACTTCCCCTTTCCAGTCCCTCCTAACTTCCTTCTCGGCCCCCTTCTCCCGCTAATTCCATCAACGCTCCCTATCTGTAATCTGTAAAGACGAACCTGCAATGTTTCAAAGGCCTCCTAACATAACCGCAACACCACACACAGAAAGCTGATTGACAAGACGATTCATAGACATCTTGCACTAGCCTACCACAGCTATTTATAAACACCTCACACTACCTCGCACTAGCCTACCACAGCTATTTATAAACACCTCACACTACCTCGCACTAGCCTACCACAGCTATTTATAAACACCTCGCACTACCACTCGATGGACAAGCTATTTATAAACACCTACGACTTCCTAGATCGACGAGTCTGTTTATAAACAGTCCACTTACAAAACGTGTTCACGATCTATAAACATGTTCACGATCTATGAACATGTTCCCGATCTGTAAACATCGCCCTATTTTAACATCTTCACGAATGAATATAGACTCCACTCCGTATACATTCCGACTCCTCTCAGCGCGCGGAGTTACGACCGTGTAAAGGTAGAAATTGCACAAAATATGGAGTGAACTGGAATGCATGAAATGGAATGCATGAAATGGAAGGCATGAGAGGCATCATGATTCACATAATTAGGGTTACACACAGCAAGACACTAACAATAATACTCGAGCTCGATTAAATAAAGAGGCGCGCGTTCTTACTCTGATCAAACGCCAGCTTGCCGTTCTCGTATCGCATGTCCGTCCAAAGTTCGGCCACATTGAATGTCGGATCTGTCCGGTCGCTATACCTGTTTTCGAGTATCATCAAATTCCACACCGCATAGCCTTTCGTTAGAAACTCCTTGAGAACCGAAATGAGTATCGAGATTGAATCAGTCAGGCAAGGGTTGCGGCCGAATTATTTTTCGAATTATTTTTATCAAGGAAATTCAATCCGTCCGACAAGGGCTGTCAAATTATTTTTGTCCCGTCCCCAGCCTATGAACAGCTAAACACAGCTTGACAATTTCAGGACGTAGGAATTGCATCAGACGCATCAACTTAAAGAAAGTGTGCAGAGTAAGCCTCAACCAAAGCACAACCGGTAAATGAGTATCGAGATTGAATCAGTCAGGCAAGGGTTGCTGCCGAATTATTTTTCGAATTACTTTTATCAAGGAAATTCAATCCGTCCGACAAGGGCTGTCAAATTATTTTTGTCCCGTCCACAGCCTATGAACAGCTAAACACAGCTTGACAATTTCAGGACGTAGGAATTGCATCAGACGCATCAACTTAAAGAAAGTGTGCAGAGTAAGCCTCAACCAAAGCACAACCGGTATGGAACGAATAACAGGCCAATACGAGAACACATCCTCACATACGTCAGCGAGTGCTGGGAAATGCGAACAGAAAAAGCATATATGCAGGCGACTGCTCAGGCACAGAGCAAGAAACAGAAGACGTCTGTAGGTGGGTAAGAAAGCGAGAGAGAGAGAGAGAGAGAGAGAGAGAGAGACGACTAATGCGAGAACGAACACAGACGGCGCACGAAATTTTGAATACGCTAACCAATGGGGGAAGAAAGCAAGAACTCAAAATAGAGAGAGAGCAGATAGTAGTAAGACGACGGGGGAGGGCGCGCGCAGTAGAAAAACGCATAGAACCTTACATGGTCACATACTCCGCTGCGTAACCCTTCACAAAGTCGAACCTCCAGCCATCGAAGCCCATGTGGTGTCGCATCCAGAGCATCCACTCCACGAGTTCATCCTGGACTCGCTTGTTCGTGTGATCAACATCAGGAGCATAAGCACACTTCTCCCCAGTGTCCGGCCTTCCAGAGCCGCCCGAGTTATAAATACCGTCACATGTGAGGGCCCATGGGCCCCAATCCAATTTCCCATTCCCAGCTCCTCCTAGGTAGATATTCCATCTCCCCTGGTTATCCTGCTTTGATGCTGACCGATGGTTAAGTACCAGGTCCATCAGACAGCCAATATCATTCTTATGCATCTCGTCAATCATGGCCTTCAATTCCTCCTCTGTTGATTGCGTCGTCGTATTCACCCACCGAGTGTCCAATCGCCACATCGCCGTCATCCATCCGAAGACAAACACCGACGACCAACGACAACCCAAGCGTATCAGTCAGGCAGGATCAAACCAAAATGTACTATATCATGTTTGGAAAAAAAAAAAAAAAACATCCGCGTTTGTCGTTGTAGTAAAATACTATACGGCATCGATCACGCCCAATCATATATCATATGATATTGTTCACACCCAAGCATAAAAAAAAAAAAAAAAAAAAAAAAAAAACCAACGTCAGTTGGCAACTTGGCACACCTATCAACTGCTGAAACACAGAACCTGGTTTTGAACCCGATTTTGAACCTGATTTTGAAGTCCAATGGAATCAGACGTAGTACAGCTCTGAATTTACCTGGGGGCCATCAGTACAACGTCTTCTCATCTCATTATCTCGTATGCGACGAATGTATACGTACATATACAATACATATACGTACATATACAATACATACATACATATACACATACATATACACATACATATACACATATTCCTCTTCCTCTGCCGACGCTTTACCGGGCAGTAGTGTTTGACGATATATACATATATATCGTCAAACAGAGTTGTCCGGTGAACCATAGACAACGGCTGATACCGCCGCCGCCGCCTCTTAACTATTTGAGACAATTACAAATTCCCAACTCGATAATGAGATTTAAATTTAATCTTGTAAGAGCGTCTTGAGAACTCCACTCACCGTTTCCGTATCTTGACTCATTCATGTTGTACAGCTGACCAGGGAGATATCCTGCACAATGAATCATGACAGGCAATTCAGGTCAGGGAAGGACACTGCATAAATCCCGTAATCGGAATTAGACTTGAATACCAACTTTCGTCAAGCCTTGCCACTGCTCAAGCAACATATCATTTTCATTTACACTCCTAACTAGACAAGACTAATCCGAGCGGTTTCCATTTGACCCACACTCGCACCAAAACCTTCATTCAATCACTATGCGCCGACCCCCCAATCCCCATCGTTGGGCTCCACCTAAGAAGCGTTTCCATCTCATTCCTCAAAATAGAACGGATAATCCGAGCGGTTTTCCCAGTTGTAACCCGTTCAATCGCTGTACTCGTGCCAAAACCGCCATCCAATCACTAGGCTAGACCGACCCCCCATCCGCCTCCTTCCAATCGTCGTACTCAACCAAAAACCCCCAATCCCCCGCCTTCCAATCGTCGTACTCCACCAAAAAACCCCAATCACCCTCCTTCCCTTCGTTGTACACAAGCAAACCACCAAAAATCCCCAATTCCCCCTCCTTCCAATCGTTGTACACAAGCAAAACCCCCCAAAGATTCCTGGATTGACGCCACTTTCCGACTACAGTGGGCAAACACAATCTCAAATCTAGAATCAGTCGAAGCAGTCCATTTCTACACATCAGTTACACATAGATCATCATGTACAATTGCGACGCGCAAAGGGCTAAAAAGAACTCTCGGCAGAATTCACACATTCCGCCTATATTTTTAGATTATACATGCAAGGGCTAAACAGATAAATTTTGTTCACCGCCGAAACATTTCCAGAAGGACGCGTTTACATCTCATTGCTTCGATCGCATCACTCCGTGATTTCGATATCACGCCCATTCGAGGCAAATGACAGTAAGTCACTCAAATCCACCTCCCATTACGACAACTTCAAAACCGTTCGACGACCACAACCGATCGATGAATAAGCTCCCTGTAGACTATGAACGCACACAACCGACCGATACCGATAAATAACATCTCCTCCCTCTAGACTGTGAGCTGACAGCGGACAAAAGACGATTCACCTCGTGGTCAACGGAAACATACCATGCGGATCCGCAGCTTGGGAGGGAGGCGGCAGCCAGATGTCTGTCACACCAGCATCCGCGAGGTCTGCAGCTTTTCCCTTCAAATTCTTGTACCAGCCCCCCTTCTTACACGAATCCCAGTTGAAAGCCTGACGAGCGAACAAAAATACAACAGAACATAAACACAGATTACCGTTAATTTCCTTGTCTATATTAATCACGACCAATTGTCATTATATTTTCGATGAGCACAACATCACCCACGCTCTACCTCTCATAGCCCCACCACTGTATCACCCACTTACAGAGCACCCAGCCTTTATAACGCTCAGCGTCTTGATAAGCCCCTCTCGATAAGCCCCATAGTGCCCACACCCACAAGGCAACCTGTGCCGCCACTGTACCACCCACTTACAGAGCACCCAGGCTTTATAACGCTCAGCGTCTCGATAATCCCCACACCGACAAGGCAACCTGTGCCGCCACTGTATCACCCACTTACAAAGCACCCAGCCTTTATAACGCTCAGCATGTCGATAAGCCCCACACCCACAAGGCAACCTGTGCCATTCATGCAAATCTTTCTTGTACCTCGGCTCGCCTGGAAGACCTTCTGAGATTGGGAGGGAGGATCAGAAAAAGCGAACCCCACCTTCCTCCTGAAGGAAGAGGACGGAACAGACGACTTCCTTCTGGGAAACAGTCATATTTTGAGAAACGATCACTTGATTGTGCACCCCAGCAACATCTACGTCATTGTCCTTCCTATCATGATACGCACGAATTCAAAAAAGGATCATTATGCTGGGCGAACACGCACGAACGGCGTGGTTGCCCAGCACGTGCCCCCAGAAAGATGGACCAGTGCTTCAAACCTCGAGCACGTGCAGCGTGCGCACAATCTTCAACGCTGTAGAAAGCACGCACCTCCAGCACTGACGGTACATCGAGTACCGACAGCACACCATGCGACGGTTCAAAAGAGAAGCTGATGCTCTTCTCCCACATCCCTCTCTCGTTACCGGCGCATAACGCTCACCCCGCACCGAGCGCTTATCCCCCTCGAGCCAGACGTGCATGTCTCTCTACGTCTCTCTCCGACAAACGGACAATGAACAGCGACGACGGTGCCAAAAACAAACAGCAAGGACAACGACAACCGTAACGTGCCACGCAAAAAGTCCCGATATCTGACAGCGTTAACACAACCCAAAGAAAGGAAAGCAAATAGAACAAAAGGGTGTCCTACGTGCCCTGCAAAAAGTCTGGTCATTCTTCAGAGTGGGTTGCGCGCGGGCCTCCATGCAATAACTTAGTGTGTGCCAGAATCATCTTCTCTCGTCCTGGAATCCACACGGCCGTAATCCTGACCGGTCAAGCAATCTGTGCGCGGAGAATTGCAGGAGCATGCATGCATGCACAAAAAAACAGAAGAGGTGTACAGCTCCCTATGCGCCTGAAATCTACGTAGGCCATATTCCCCTGACCGGTCGTGCACCTGCCCGGTCGTGCAATCTGTGCGCGGAGACTTGCAGGAGCATGCATGCACAATCGAAGATCAAAACACAAGACGGGCCGTACTCCTGACCGGTCGTGTAATCTGTAGGCAGCGAATCGCAGGAGCATGCACGCACACACGAAGATCAAAAGACGGTGTACAACACCATATGCGCAATTCGCTCGAAACAGCAAGCATTTGCAAGCCAGTTGAAATAACGATCAAACGAGAAGAAGCATCACTTGCATATAAGCGCAGGGCAAGTTCACTCAAACATCCTGTCACACATGCTAAAATCAACGGAGCTCGGACTGGGAACGTGCCACAGACATACGATCGAGAAACCTTGCCCAGTACGTGATATCAACGCGGACTCAAATAATACCACAAGGCTTACGATGATATCACGTGGATTGACATCCCGGTGCAGTATGATCCCACCATGTGGCACATGGTCATCATCTTCCAGACCAGCAATCAATCCATCCTCAGAAACAGGAACCACCACTCCCAGCTCATACCATCTGGTCGTCACATCCACGTCAATTTAGAGAACCATTCTCACACCAATTTTCAACACAACGAGTCCGCCAGCGTCAATCTTTCCCTCCTTGTCCACAAGCATTCCGTACGATCCGACGTATTATCTAGAAAGTTAAAAGCGGTCGGGTGAGTTTAAACAACCTTGGAAGGTGGCGAAAGAAGACGAATAACGCACGAATAAGGAGAAGTCAAAACAAAGCCCGAATAACGTACGAGTAGGAGAAGTCAAAACAAACAAAGCCCGAAAGCTTCCCAGTAAATACGTCCAAATCCGATCAACGAACACTTTGCTTACGATTGTGAAACACGCTGCGTTCTCCTATGTGTCAAAGAGTGGTCGTGACACTGACTGATCTCAGAGTCAATCACCCACACACAATAGACGGGGAAATTGCCACAAGACGCTTAACCACACAAGGCCCACAGCTAACAGCACAACGAGACAACGCTTAAGAACCCACAGCTAACAGCACAACGAGACAACGCCTAAGAACCACACAAGGCCCTTAGCTAACAGCACAACGAGACGAGAGCTCCCTCTGTGCGTAGCTCTTACTGAGCTTGGCCACACTCCTCTGGTGAAACGAAGGGCCCAGCTGGAGGCAAACCTGACCTTCTCACACGAGAACGTAAGTGACCATCGTGTCATATTCAGGCCATCATTCGGTAATTCCGGCGAAGTGAATCTCACACACTAGAACTCGAGTGCGCGACGTCGATGTAATCATGATCATCATGTTGTACTCCAGGACATCATTTCATAAGGCCAAACCATGTTCGTATCTCTATGAGCATACGTGCACACTATACAAAAAGAGGGTGAAGGCATGTACTTTACACCACAAAGAAGCAAATAAACCCCCGAATACAGACGCTGGACAAAGAAATCGCTTCGCTGTTCACAGGCTCTCTTCACATGCAAATCCTCTTCACACGCAAACCCTCTTCACACGAAAACCAGACACCACAGGTGAACGAGACACTGCGGGACACCGTCGAGGGAACGAGAGGATTCTATGCACAGAAAAGGACGCAGAGAAACGACAGTCCGCTAGACAGAGAACCGCTAGACAGAGAAACGGAGACAGAGAAACGGAGGCAGAAACGGAGACATATGCGAGGGTCCGCTTGGAGAGAATGAGGGAAAGAAAAGAGGCGAGGTCACTCTTCACATAAAAACCACTTTTCATATACACCAGAGTACACTGCGAAAGACGGCCGAGGCAAAGACAACATTATATGCCTAGAAGATGAGGGTATGCTTGAAGAGGAGGAAGAAATGAAAAAGGTGGTGAGGCCTGTAGAACATAACGCCCTACCTGCATCATGACGACTTTGAGAGGATCTGTGGGTACCGGATGAGGTACACGGCCCTGTTGTTCCACATGAGTAAACGCCGTCGTCTCCTGCAAACTCGAGGACACCACAATACGTATCCTGCCAATAAGAACTCTCTGCTCGCGCAATTGGCATGGCGTCAGCAAGTCCAGCGCGGGCAGCGCGAGAGCTTTCCTCAAGGCAACAGCCGTCCCCAAAAACGATGTTCGCCTCTCGCCTCCTCCTGTTATCACACTTTCGGCAGAAATACGTGCCGACCGCGACCTTCTTGGCGATCCCGACGAGTGCCATGACGCAGTCACAGGCACCGACTTCAACATCGAAGATCTCGGCGGCGCAGAGGCATTACGGTTCGCCGCCGTGTCTAGCGCACCGGCCGGCGCGCATTGCACAGCAGTCGACAGCGTCCTTGCCACATCCATCGTCATCTTCCTAATATTTCACTTTCCCAAACGCAATAAAATAACTGCAAAATGACCAAAACTCGATCACCAAATAACGTGCCAAGACAATCGCCGGCAACCATATACAGAAACCAAAAAAACCTCCCCGAGACTCGACTCCCTTCCCCCTCCTCAGATTCGTCAATTGCCTTCTCCCCGCCTTTAACAACAAGACGGTCAATCAACTTCACCCCGTTCACGATGAAAACGATAAACGGCGTCGCCGACGGCTACAACGTATACCGGCCAGTTTCCCGGACGACGAAGTACACTGGAACTCGGTACTTTACACTCGAGACCGGGACTCCAAATACTACACTCGACCTACTTAAGAAACCGATCCAGTCAGACATAAAGCGATCGCCAGATGTTCGCGTTGATATCATTTATCACACACACAGAAGAGCGTTCGCCGAATTGGATGAAAGCTATAAAGTACTCAATAGACTAATCAATCAATCAATCAACGAGTCCATAAACCTGTCGATCTAGACGGAAGAGAGGGAAGTGAATCGCTCGAATAAGCCGCCACATTCACGCGGAGTGTACAGCTTCGAGTGCGCCGGAATAACAACAACAGTAACCTTGAGATGGACGACGACACACTACTGAGAGGAAGGCTCGACAGACCGCGGTGAACGCAACCACAAGCAAGAAACGCGCACCAGAACGAGCAAAGCAAATCCCCGACTGCGCACGAGCCCGCTCTCCGGACACTTGCCAGAGGAGTTCCGGCAATTTCCAGACACGACAGGGAATGGAAGGAACGCGCAAAATTGGACAAGCGACTACAGCTCAGCGATCGCACACCGAACACGGTCTCCGTAGCAGAAACGCGCGAACTCTGACATCGGTGAACGCAAGCTCTCCGTGGTCAGCTTATATAAACGGAAGCAATGACGATCCTGCATATTGATCACTGCTGTGCTCGAGTGTCTTTTAAAGGAAAGAAGAAGAAGAGAGTGGACAGTTCTCGTCTCGACTACACAGCTCCAGCTGCGCCCCACGGGCCCCCATCCCCAGGCCCCTGCGAGGCTCCGCGCGAGAAGGCGGGCCGACCGGGGAGCTACCGACACGAGCGGCTGCGGAGGCGGGGGTTGTCGGTGGTTGCGGCGACTGCCCGCCACGTCCCAGGACCACCTACTACGGTAGATAGATGGAGTGTTTGAGCAACTTCTCGGCGGGGCCACACTTGTGACCACGAGATTTCACATCGGATGGTAGCGTGCCCGCTAGATAGAAAGTGCTACCGTCGTGGGACTTGGCGCCGGTTTCGGCAGGCGAGGCCGAGCCGGCGCGCCACCTCATCAATCAATCAATCATGCGTCGCGTCTCATCGGGAATCAATGTTACGCGACGTGATCGATGCCGACCGACAAAAGAGGTCTGCATGTGCCTATGGTAGCTGTACACGGTCACGGGGTGTCCCTGAACTCGAAAGGACGAAAGGAAACTCATGATGGTCACGGCCGATGTCCAGGGACGTTGGTCGTTGGATAGCCAATTCGTCCTTTTTTCTGTTGTTGTCCAGAAAAAGCTGGACAGCTGACATCCTATTGTTTTTCCTTTTTTTTATTTTACGCCAACTGATATCGTTTCCTTGTCTCTCTCTTTTTTTCTTCTTTTTCCGATTCGAACTCAACCCATTCCATTCCATTCACCAGCCGGGTCCTATCAACCGCGGGGGTCATAAGGAAAAAAAAAAAAAAAACAATTCTGCCAATTCTTCCACATTTTCCAAGGCCAGGGTTCAAGTTGCATCCAGCAGGTACAGCAATGAAGTGAAGTTGCATTTCCCTGGTAATGCAGCGAAGTCGCATTTGGCAGCTGAAGTTGCTTTTTCTTTTTTTTCTTTTAATGAAAATCCGTTAGTGCCTGAGGCAGGGGTCCTCACATGCCCGATTTGGGGAAATAGTGGCTGGACCAGTCACACTGCTTCCCTATTTCGCAACAGACAAGGTTGCGGGCGGCCTGGATTTTGGGTCCTCTTCGACTGCTCCAGTCACACTGCGACATCTCATTTCCTGCTCCAGTCACACTGCGACATCTCATTTCCTGGGGATGTCTTTGTCTTCTAATTTCTTTCCATTTCAGCAGGTTGAATCCCAACAAGAATAAGAAATTTGTGGTAACCTCCCGAGGTTACGGCAAATTCCCAATCCCCGTGGCCCCTCAGGTCACTGACAAATGGGGTCACAATAAGTCGTTTGGGGAAATGAGATCTTCGTGTGAGCATTATGCCAGCAACGGCCCACCGGGTTGCACACAAAACGGACCAAACAGACACAAAACGGACCAAACAGATTCAACAAGAATAAGAAATTTGCGGTAACCTCAAATTCCCAATCCCCGAGGGCCCTCAGGCGGCTGACAAATGGGGTCACTATAAGTAGTTTGGGGAAATGAGATCCTGGTGTGACTATCCCTCTACAGTATTTTTTCAGGATTTTGGGGATTATGCGGCTTTGGTACCCGATTCCACACCACTTACGAATCCTTACATAGTTTTACTTAGTAAGGGCACCCTAACTGGCCTAGGGTGATTAATTTACCGTACTTTTTTCGTTCCACAACCGATACGGCAGACCCTACACTTACCCGCCCTTACATCTCAGGTGAGGAGGGCCGGGTGTCAGAAGTCGACCTGTCGGGCACGGACGTCCATGAAGGCGGTATGGCGGACAAGAAGCTGTCCATGTCCTGTGGGGCTGTGGCACATGCAATATTCGGGACCTCACCGTTTGGGCGGGCAGCCTACCACGCGCATGAAGGCGGCACCCATGATATGAAAGGTGCACGTGGCAGCGGAAATTTTGAATTTGTGATTGCGCTCTCATTCGTGGACAGCGCTCTCGCCCATCATCCGTGCTTCCTGCGGCCTTGGGAAGAAGGTCGCCATGTGCGCGCCTTCGCGGTTCGCTTGGGGCAATGGAAGACGGCATCAGCGATGTGTCAGGGGCGTGGAGGCTGACACCGAGGGATATGTCGCTGTTAGGAACTGCATTGCTCGCAGTTTCTCGTCACATGCAGACGGTGAACAACCTGCGGCGGGCCAGCGGACGACAGAGGGGCAGACGGGAGGCCGCCATAGCCCAAGTGTCTGGAGATACGCGCGGCCAACTGCAGTTTTCGGATTCGAACCACCGCCAACATCCATCCAGCACCTGCCGCTTCCAGAACTACCTTCGGTTCCTGTCAATGGCTACCATGTCCTCGCAACGGCACTGGAGACAGCGGCTACGTGGGTCCGTCGGCCGCGGATCCCACGGCCTCGGCGGCGGCCGAGGAGGCCAGCGGCAGACCCGCGGCCGAGTTCCCGTGCGGCCGCACCAGGCCTAGTGGGGGCGCGTGCGGGAAATCGGCCGGCGCGCGCGGCCTGCACACCACGTCCTCTACAGGACAGCACAAAAAAAAATAAGATTTTTTTTTTTTCGGGGGGGGGGGTGTTTTTCTTGAGTGCCTTAGATAATTAAAAAAAAATAGAAAAAAAAAAACCATTGATTGATTGATGTTTTGATTGATTGATTGGTTGGTTGATTGATTGATTGATTGATTGATTGATTGATTGATTGATTGGTGGGGGAGGGGTCCTCCCTCCCCTTCCCGGCACACACACACACACACACACACACACACATGTGCAGTAGTGAATATTTCGACGTTCTAGCGGAAGATTCAATCGAGTTTGCTCATCCTTTCGATGGAAGTTGCGCGAGGCCAGCGGCCGCCTTGGAGACTTACCTTTCGCCCGGTACGTCGCGCAACGAATCGATCGAGGTACTCTCTCTCTCTCTCTCTCCCACACACACACACACACATACACATATGTGTGTGTAGTAGTGAATATTACGACGTTCTAGCGAAAGATAAGATCGATTTTGCTCATCCTCTCGATGAAAGTTGCGCGAGGCCAGCTGCGGCCTTGGAGCCTTACCTTTCGCCCCGTACGTCACGCAACGAATCGATCGAAGTACTCTCTCTCTCTTTCTCTCTCTCTCTCTCTCTCTCTCTCTCTCTCTCACACACACACACACACACACACACACACACACACACACACACACACACACACACGCACGTGTAGTAGTGAATATTTCGACGTTCTAGCGGAAGATAAGATCGATTTTGCTCATCCTCTCCATGGAAGTTGTGCGAAGCTAGGCGCGCTCTTGGAGACTTACCTG